ATAACAAACATACTACGATTAAAAAGTATGGTTGAGCAAAATTGACTTTGAAAGTTTTTAGGACTTACGTACCCTCTCAGGTGGACAATAATTTTACGCTACTTCAACTCCTGGATCAATAACTGTAAATCACTGATATTATGCCTTAGTCCTCTGCAATTCCACTGTATGATGTTATTGGAATAAACTATCTTTTCGGGGGATTTATTGGGGATCTACCCCGCACTTTTTTGGAGGGCGACAAGCTTTGTGCCCTAGATTGGACGTTTTCGACCACGTCCATGTCCTCGAGTGATCCATATTTGTTATAAAGTTTAATATTATTTTCGGACCCTTTCGGGGCTCTGCCACTTTGCTTTTTTGAAGAATCAGGCTTAGGTTTATTTTTCCCTCTAGGAATTTGTTGTACATTAGATAATGATTGAGACCTTGTGGGTGGCTGTGATGATGAATCATGATCAGAAGCTGACCCTGATTGACTTTGGGACATGTAAGGAAGTGGCTCAGCAGTCTGAGTCGATACTGCGGGTGAGAAAATCGGAGGAGAATCGGTTTTCACCCAAGCCAAGTTTGTTTGAGAACCTGAAGATGATTTCGATAATTCGAAATCAACTTGTGCCACCGAGGACAGTTGCTGAATTGACACAGGCCCTTCAACATCAGTAGCAGACCTCAGCTGTTCCTGAGAAATGTGTGTCTTTCAATGCCCCGGAGACTGCGAGCATGTCTTGGAGCGCACGATGGGCACACACGATATTGACTGCAAGTGACCCCTCCTCTGTTTGATGTCGTTGTTGCGTCACTTATGTTGCTGTTGGACATTTTGAAATTATCCACAGATGTTCACTTAAAACATACCTGCAAGTTACATTTATACATGTTCATATTCGTGTGAGTAAAGATAGTATGAATGTCAAATTGCGTTTTTAATGGCTTTCAGTATACGTAAACTGCGTTTAGCTTTTTCTTTTGCCTTATGACACTCTGGTCCATAAAAAGTGAAAACTTTCGGAATAACAGGCACCCTCTTTTGCATACAGTCTGCAGCATCAAGTAAAAATCTTACATACTTCTCTAAGATATTTATGAAATTGTCGAAATGGAAACCTATATCTGACTTATTTTCAATGAAAGTGCTAGCGTGATCATTATTCCATCTATACTTGAATGTACTTGCAGTCACGTCTTTAGTTACCAGTGTTTCACCTGGACCAGTGAATCTAAGGATCAAAGGCATGTGTTTACTCTCTATTCTATCTCCTACATCGAAGTTCGAGAAATACTTAAATAGTCCAGGTGATGATATAACGTAATCAATTAGACTACAAACTTGTTCGGAAACACAAGTAAACATTCCTCCAGTATATCCTTCCACCCGGCCATTTAAGATATACAAGTTAAATTTTTCAGATATTTCCCAAATCTATTTACACAGGTGGCATTTGTAAAGTATTTACAGGAACCAATTCATCCTCAAGACAAAAGTCATCAAAGTTTTCACTCTGCATATCTGGAGGCCGATTTCCAGTCCCTACCCGAGCATTTCGATCTCCACACAGAAGTATATAACAATCTGTAAGATAATTTGTATTATCTAATAACCACTGTTCTAACTTCTCGAACAGAGTAGCGTTTCCTGTGACTTTATAGTAAGAAGATCCCTCTGGGGGAGCGTATGCTACAAGAAGTAAAACATCACGATCTGTGTCTATAAGTCGCTTATCTAATCGGATACAAACTGCGTTATCAATATCAATATGAACCCTCGAACCGAATTTTAGAGTGAGTGAGTAAGTTAAAATTTAACGTCACATCGGCAATATTGCAGCCATATCGTGACGAGAACAGTTTATATCAATATTCAAATCAATAAATGTATAACGTAAAAACCTGTCATCGAAGGACAGTAAAACAACTAGAATATCACAGATTTTAATTTAAAACTAGTACGCTATCATAAACATATATCACGAGAGACAACAGTACAATCTAAGAACGGGCTATAGATCACCAGCAGCCGAAGGTTGATCACCACACTAAGGACACAGAATTTTAGAAATGTTTTTTTTTTATGAATACATAAATACCACCCGAAAATCTGCCGTATTTAGCTAGTTTTATTGCAGTACAGAAAATAACTTCAAAGTTACACAGTTCAGGTATGTAAATACACTTATCAACAAATGATTCTTGCAGGCAATCGGTTCCCAATTGCGCAGATCGATGCTCATGCTGTTGATCACTGGATTGTCTAGTCCAGACTCTATTATTTACAGACCGCCGCCATATAGCTGGAATATTGCTGAGTGCGGCGTAAAACTAAACTCACCCACTCACTCTTGCAGGCATATGAAATCAAACTGGATTAGATAATGCAGAAAGTCACTGTCATCAAGTTTATTTCCAAGTTAGAATCGATAACGTCGCGGATTGACGAGAAGAACGTTGACTGGCTAAATCAGAATCAAGTGGAACATTCACATTCTCACAGTTCGAAGTTCGCGATGAAGCCCGCCGCATTCCTATTTCGATGAACTACGTTCCTTGCGTGATCGTACGTTTGTGTTTGGTGTCGAAGAGCCCGTAAAATGATATATGCGCAAAGGTCTTGTTCCTCGATGTTTGGTTGATTTCCCTCTGTCTTTGATTTGTCCACAGAAACAGTCCTGCTCAACTGAACAGCACTAGCTGATTCCGCATTGGCTACTTCGGAGTATGTGGGTTTAGTGATGAGACGCCCGTTCTTAAAGTATGCAATATGCCCTTGTCCCTTGTCCCTGTCAACGTAAACTTCGCGATCAGTGGGCGTGTCCGACAAGTGCGACCTTGTCTTCCTATGCGATGCGCCCTTATAATATCTGATCGAAGCCAGGTGCGGTCTTGAGTATGCTTGTTTAAGGTCTATAACAAGGCCTTTACAAGAATCGTAGGACTCATGCTCACTCTCCTTTATGTTATAAAACACCACATTATCTCTACGGCTGTGTGCCTCAAGCTTGTCTAGGTCCTCGGCCTGCATCTCGAACTTGATTCCAGTCTGGATGTGATTGCATCAATGTCACTGTAAACATTTCCTGCTGTGCTCAATTCTGTTCACGTCATCACCAATACTGTTCACAGCGCTGTCCAACTGTCAAATATTGTGTGTACCTCATGTAGCTGAACTTTAATTGAATCTACTTTAGTTTTCATGGAACTTCTGATGTCTTTTAATTCATCCATCATTGCTGACTTTACATCATTTAAATCCTTCATAGTAAGCGGGTCTGGGTTGCTTTCAGTGTCATTTGATAGCCTAAGTTTATCCCGCACAAAACTACTGGTCACAAAGAAAACGCCAGTTGTATTCTCAATGTGAACAACCTCGATATGCTCCGCTGATCAGAGGTGTGCTACTTGTTACGTCACTCAAATGTCACACATTAACTTGGTAAATACTTCCCCAACTTTCGCTGGATTTCATGCGCCAATAATCATGAGATGTAGAGCGAAGGAAACTGCGCACAAAATCAGTCTATAAGGCATGTAGGAGCTGTGTCTGGTATGCGGGGAGTACGTGTCAAGATGACCCAACTGTCGTGTCCCCGGTGGGTGGGAAAACATCCCAACCCTAGCTCTATGCAGGACTAGATTGATCATCTTGTTGCACATGCAGCAGCTCCGATGTCTGATCTTGTCCGCTATGTCACTGTTAAGGGCTCGAGGCTTGTTTTACAACACTATTTTGGTATTAACACACTGGCAGTGTGATATCGTGTATTTCGTCATGGGTGTGTAACTCTCAATACAGATATACCGTACATGATAAATACGTCGTATACCTGTAACACTTTCACCTGGTACACCATACACGTACCGTTCATCATTCCACCCTATGTATACACGGTACACCATACACGTACCGTTCATCATTCCGCCCTATGTATACACGGTACTCCATACACGTACCGTTCATCATTCCGCCCTATGTATACACGGTACACCATACACGTACCGTTCATCATTCCGCCCTATGTATACACGGTACACCATACACGTACCGTTCATCATTCCGCCCTATGTATACACGGTACACCATACACGTACCGTTCATCATTCCACCCTATGTATACACGGTACTCCATACACGTACCGTTCATCATTCCACCCTATGTATACACGGTACACCATACACGTACCGTTCATCATTCCACCCTTATGTATACACGGTACACCATACACACGTACCGTTCATCATTCCACCCTATGTATACATCGGTACACCATACACGTACCGTTCATCATTCCACTTTGCTATGTATACATCGGTACACCATACACGTACCGTTCATCATTCCACCCTATGTATACACGGTACTCCATACACGTACCGTTCATCATTCCACCCTATGTATACACGGTACACCATACACGTACCGTTCATCATTCCACCCTATGTATACATACACCATACACGGTACCGTTCATCCCATACACACGTACCCATACACGTCCGTTCATCATTCCACTTATGTACATCCATACACGTACCGTTCATCATTCCACCCTATGTATACACGGTACTCCATACACGTACCGTTCATCATTCCACCCTATGTATACACGGTACACCATCCAGTTATAGACATGTTGTCAGCTAAACATTCGCCATGCACGTGTATTGCATCATCCAGTACACCAGTATACACATTCGCCATACAAACACAATACACAAGCGAGACAAATGTACCATATTTTGTGGGGCAATTTCTTTTTGATCTTCATGATCTTTCCCCACAATGTCATGTTGGCAGACTGAAGTAGTTACGGCGTAATGTCCTGTTTAGTTGAGTGAAATAGCATATTTTGTTTGCTCTTCAGACGCTCATATATGTCTTACATTTGCAGATATATGTATTATTCCATTGCAAAATATACCTAACAATGCCACTTATATTTTCAGAAACTGAATTTTACGTCCACCTGGAAAAAGTCACCCTCCTCCAGAGCAAATACCTTACCATAATACTTCTATGACGGTCCCTCAACATCATGGCCGCGTCTTTCCAATCCTCGGGGGACAGTTTGTACGGGGTCATGACGTGAAATACGATTTAATCGGGAATCCGTGAAATATATCAGTGACACTACCACGTGCACACAAACATTAACGTACACAACGTTAATTGGCGCTAGGTGCTGTGTCAGGTCAGGGTGACACCGGATCTTTTGCGTATGAAATCCGAAACAACCAACACATCCACTGCACCTCGGTATGGCGGACTCCGGGGGATAATTATAGGATATGACCTCGTTCCCCTTTCATATCAAGTTTATGTCCCTCGTGAAATAACTTTGCTTTGTCACGAGCTTTTGCGAGTAGCAAAGCAAAATTATTTCAATCGTGAAATAACTTTGCTTTGTCACAAGCTTTTGCGAGTAGCAAAGCAAAATTATTTCACTCGGGACATAAACTTGATATGAAAGGGGAACGAGTTTTGTATCCTATTTATTACCCACGTTCGAAAAATTGAGTGAGTGAGTGAGTTAAAATTTAACGTCACACCGGCAATATTTCAGCCATATTGTGACGAGAACATATTTGACATTGAAATGGAATATATGTATATTATAAAACCTGTCGACGAAGGACAGTAAAACAACTAGAATATCACAATTAGAATTAAAACTAGCGTGGAAAGTTAAAACTAATAGCACTATTTGGGCAATACAATATAAAAACTGGCTATAGATCGCCAACAACAGAAGGTAGATCACCACACTAGGGACCATGGGGACTTACAGTACCTTGGCTACCTGCATGGACCCTAGTTGGATTTACACCATCCCTTCAGCTGCTGGAGATTGTAAGAAATGTTAGCCAAAATTAAAATAACAAGAATACTACGTTTAAAAATCCTGGCAAGTTTAAATTGACTTTGAAAATTTTGGGTCTTGTTTTGGAGCCAATGACAGTGGCACATGCCACCGCGCCACCATCCTTGAACCCATCTGTAAATAAGGATTTGTATGTTTTATGTATATTTTATAATTGATTATAGTCTTGTTTCTTAAACTTTGTCAGAGTTAGGTCAACGTCAGGCCTCACCAGTTGCCAAGGAGGAGAAGAAAGAAGAAGGGAAGGATATATATTTTCCGGCTCAATGCCGGCAGCAGAGTGAATGGTTTAATTCTTAGCCCAAGAGGCGAAACAAGAGAAGACTTTTTGTTGTATAAATCCTCATAAAGAGGATTGAGACACAGTTAAATGCAGGATTCGACTCGTTAGAATAGAGTTTTGTTATATACTGTAATGATAATTTGATACGACGCTGGTTGAGGGATGGCTCATCAGCCTCAACATAGAGACTGTCAACAAGAGAAGTTCTAAAAGACCCAAAACAAGACCTTAGGCCTTGGTGGTGGACAGAATCAAGTAGTTTTATGCTGCTTTTACAGGTTCCACCATATACGATGGAGCCATAATCAAGTTTAGATCGCACCAATGATCTATATAAGTGAAGGAGGGTAGTTTGATCCCCTCCCCAATTTGAATTGGATACAACCTTTAACAAATCGAGTGCCTTCAGGCATTTAGATTTAAGGGATTTAATATGTGGCAGGAATATTAAATGGGAATCGAAAATTAGACCCAAGAATTTGGCCTACTTTACAACTTTGATGGGAGTGCCATTTAAAGATAGTTCTGGGTCCTTATGAGGCTTATATTTTCTACAAAAATGTATACAATTAGTTTTTGATTTGGAAAATTTAAAGCCTTTTTCAAGACACCATTTATTTATTTTGTTTAAACATAACTGCAGTTGTCGTTCAATAGTATGCATATTTTTACCACGACAGTAAATATTGAAATCATCCACAAATAATGATCTATCAACTGAATCATTTAAAACCGTTGATAAACTATTGATCTTGATGCTAAACAGGGTGACAGACAAAATACTGCCTTGAGGGACACCCTGATCCTGATTGTAATGATCAGACAGGGTTGAACCCACTCGCACTTGAAATTGCCCGTCTTTCAAAAACTGTGATATAAAAAGAGGCAAACGGCCCCTCAAATCAAAATCATGTAAATCCTTCAAAATGCCATGCTTCCAAGTCGTATCATAAGCTTTCTCAAGATCAAAGAAAATTGATACAGCATGTTGTTTATTTACTATAGCATTTTTAACAAAGGATTCTAAACGTACCAAATGATCAATGGTACTACGATTTTTCCTGAAACCTCACTGAATATTTGTTATAAGGTTATTGGTTTCAAGATACCAAGTTAATCTATTATTCACCATACGTTCCATGGTTTTACAGACACAGCTAGTCAGAGACATCGGTCTGTAATTCGACGGATCTGTATGATCCCTGCCAGGTTTTGGTATTGGGACTACAATGGCATTACGCCACGAAGGAGGAAATTCTCCAGACGTCCATATTTGGTCAAATATATCTAAAAGTGTCATCAGACATGGTTCAGGTAAGTGTTTCAGTAGCTGGTAATGTATATTGTCATCACCCGCTGCAGTGTCATGAGCTTGCTCAAGAGCAGTATGTAGCTCATGTAATGAAAACACTTCGTTATAATCTTCACCGTTATTTGATTCGAAATTAAGTTTTGTCTTTTCCTGTTGTTTCTGATATCTCTGAAACTCAGGGACATAATTTGCCGATGATGAATTTTTGGCAAGAGTTTCGCCAATTTTATTTGCAATTTTAGATTTGTCAGTAATTACATTATCACCATCTTTAAGATGGTGAACAGCAGATTTTGAACTTTGCCTTTAATTCTTTGAACCATGTTCCATACCTTAGACATTGGCGTGCGTGAATTAATTTTTGAGACATAATTTCTCCAAGATTGTCGTTTGTTTTGTTTAAAGGTACGACGCGCCTTTGCATTGAGTATTTTAAATTTATTTAAGTTATGGACAGTTGGATGATGGCGGAAATAACGCTCTGCCTTTTTCCTCGCTTTTCTGGCTTGTCTACAATCTGTATTAAACCATGGTTTTCGTACATGTGGAGTCGTAGAGGACTTTAGTATACACTCATCAGCTATTTCATTTAAAACGTCAGCAAAAATTTGAATGGGATCAGTTATATCACTGAAACATTCAGGTCGCAGTTTCGATTTGCATATAGTTTGATATAAAGACCAGTTAGCCTTCGGAAAGTTCCATCTTGTATACGATGGAGAATCAGATGGAGTTATTTCTGAAAGGATAGTTGGGAAGTGGTCACTTCCACAAAGGTCATTATGAACAGACCAGTCAAATTCATTCAGGAGGTTAGAATCTGCAAGGGACAAATCCAGAGAAGAATAAGTGCCAGTTGCAGGATGCAGATAGGTGCTTGAATCATCATTATATATACACAGGTCATTATTGGAAATGAAATCTTCAAATATTTTGCCTTTAGTATTTGTGTTAGTACTGCCCCAGAGTGGGTTGTGACCGTTTAGGTCACCCATAATAACACATGGTTTCGGGAGTTGATAATAGAGTGATTGAAGATCAGTTGAAGTGCCGATGAAGGCGGAATATACAGAGAGCATAATGTAAATGCTACACCCAGAGTAAGTCGCACTGCAACAGCTTGGAGATTAGTGTTAAGTGTAACAGGGCTGTGAATAACATCCTGTCGTATAAGGATAGTAGAACCTCCAGTGGCCCTATAACCCAGAGGGGAAAAATAATGATAGGCTTCAAACTGACGTAGGGCTTAAATTATCTGCGTTTCAGATACATCTCTTGCAGACCGAACGCTGATGGTGTTAAATCATGAATCAATAGCTGTATTTCATTAAAATTTGTCCGTAGTCCTCTACAGTTCCACTGCACGATATGTTTAGATAAACCTATCTTTTAGGTGGATTAATAGGGGGTCTACCCCGCACCTTTTTCGAGGGCGACAAGCTATGTGCCCTAGAATGGACGTTTTCGGACACGTCCATGTCCTCAAGTGATCCGTATTTGTTAATTAATTTGATTTTATCATCTGACCCTTTTGGGGAACTGCCACTTTGTTTCTTCAAAGAATCTGGCTTCGGTTTGCCTTTGTTTTTAACGATTTGTTGAACGTTTGACGTTGATTGAGACCTTTGAGTTGACTGAGAAAATGTGTCACGGTCATAAGATGGTTCTGATTGGATTTGGGGCGTGTCAGGAAGTGGTTCTGCAGTTTGTTTAGATATTGCAGGTGACAAAATCTTAGGAGTATCTGTTTTTATCCAAGTCAAGTTCGTCTGACAGCTGGCAGATGATTTAGTTACTGTTGGGGTTGTGTCTGATATTTAGAGTAAACTTTATCCTATCTATCTCCATCTGCTGTTTCCAAATGGGACAGTCTTTTGAGAACGATGAGTGATCACCTGCACAATTTGTACACTTCTTAAAGGTACTGACACAATCTTCTGTTGTATGTGTCTTCTCACCACAGTGAGCACACACAACAGACAATGTGCAAGTACTAACACCATGACCAAACTTTTGGCATTTAAAACATCTCAGTGGGTTTGGTATGTAGGTGTCGACATTAATGTTACAGTACCCTGCCTTTAGTGATCTGGGAGCAGTTGGAGAAGAAAATGAAAACAGATACGTGTATGTTGAAATGGTTTCCTGGGTTTTACGTGTTGTAAAACGCTTTACATATAAGACCCCTTGATCTTTCATTTCTGAAACAATATCAAGTTCAGACATGTCGGTGAACAATCGATCTCGGTCTCTTACGATTCCTTTGCTGGTATTAAGTGTTCTGTGAGGAGAGATCGAAACCGGAATGCCGACGAACGTTTCAGTAGTCATCAGGTTAGTTGCCTGTTGCCTTTTGCTGCACTCAATAAGCAGTGCCCCTGAACGTAAACGTTTGATGTTTTTTACATCACCGGCTATGCCTTGTATGCCTTTTTGTACAGCAAAACGATTTAACTTCAATCTGGTGTTATCTTGAGTCTCCATCACTAAGAAACGTGGCCAGTAATCAATGGATGTGGACAGTCGTTGGTCGTTACCATCTGGATCAGTGTCAAGTGGACGTTTAGTTTTTTTAAGGGGGGTTTCGTATGCCATGGTTAGTTTTTAATGGTTCATCATCCGAGCTCCCCACCCTCCACGGAGCATCACAAGGACAATGCTAAACACAAGCGGATCTCCGACTTGCAGTACCAAGGATACTCGGATGATATGTTGCAGCCATGAAATAGTGGTGCTCCGTAATTAACCACAGGCTACGGGTTGTGAGGTCAGTATCTTTTATTCCGTAGTGGAAGAAGTAGTAGAAGTAGTAGACACTCTGTAACAATAATACTTATACAATGTATATGTATACGATAAAAACATATCCGATGAACATATGCCTTCATATGTATGTAGGTATAAACATAAAGACTTAATGTAAACAATGTGGGAGATGTTAACCTGTCTTACATAATCTCTACACGCAGGTAATGAAAAGTAGATTGGCATATATATATGGAAACAATTATTTATTTGATTACAAGTGACATTTCATGTGGCATATCATGAAACAGACTATAAAACAGACAATGAAACCTACCCTGAAACAGACTGACACGAAACCTACCCTGCGGGTGACACGGGTGTGTTCTCAAGCACCCAGCAGCCGGGCAGCCAACACCTGCAATAATCCTACATAACATAGGATACACTGATGAGAGGTATTGTCCATGAGACAACACATAAAATAATACCATTATACCAATATATATACATACTTGAAACTACCACTATGGAGTTACAAACAAGATACAGAATTGATGAAACAGATCAATCTTACATCATATACAGCATTTGTAAAACAAGAACTACAAGCCAACATAAACATATAGCAAAACCAACCATGCGCACATTCATACAGGTAAAATATCATACTGTGTAAATATGTACACTTGATTTATCTTGAACATATTTATGCCTATGTTATACAATTATTTATATTAGAGTTGAATTAGCTATGTATATATTACAAACAGTATAATTACTAACCTTAGATGAAAACTCAATCTTCAAAACAGTCCTCATGTAGAGACAGTGTGGTGCAAAACTGATTAGTAACATGGCCGTGAGAAGTATATTTGAAATTAACCAATCAACTGTGTGAGTGAGTTATTATTTAACGTCACATCGGCAATATTTCAGCCATATCGTGACGAGAACACATGTGACACCGAAATGGAATAGATGTATACTATAAAAACTTGTCGACGAAGTACAGTATAAACAACTAGAATATCACAATTACAACTAAAACTAGTGTGGAAAATTAAAACTAATAGCACTATTTGGACAATACAATATAAAAACTGGCCATAGATCGCCAACAACTGAAGGTAGATCACCATACTAGGGACCATGGGGACAGTACTTTTGCTACCTGCATGGACCCTAGTTGGATTTATATCATCCCTTCAGCCGCTGGCGACTGAAGTGGAATTTAGCCAAAATTAAAATGACAAAAATATCACATTTAAAACAGCTGGTAAATTTAAATTTCCTTTTGAATGTTTCGGGACTTATGTACCCTCTCAGGAGGACAGTAATTTTACGCTACTTCCATCCCCTTTGAGGATACAGCCACTAACAATCTCAGTTACTAATCTAAAGTACCAATGATAAAATATATATCTATTCACTAATCATTTAACAAGTCTAATTCTTTTAAAAAGTGCAATAATTAAATGAGAACTTATATTAGTAAAAAGATCCTTCGTGGTTCGTGATTTGAAATATCCCACGTTCTGGGCGTTCCCGACGTAACGACGCCAAGACAGGACAGATGGATTTGGGTGACTCATCTCAGTATTCCAATTATGAAGGCATTTTCTGTGTGCACAGTTTCTTTATGTGGCTAGTATAGTTATCCCTTGTGATGTAATATTCAACACAGTCAAGCAAGACATGCTTGACCGTGATTATTTCGTCACAAGGGATACAAAACGGAGGATCCTCGCCTTTTAACAGGTACTCATTTGTGTGGCCAATACGACATAACGTATGTACCTCATTAATGGACTGAGTCCCAGGCAGGACCAATATAGGGTTTTATTTCATATTTCAACGTCCTTTTGGTCCTAACGTCTGTATCAGATCCCGGACATAAGATCCGATGACAGCCTTATAATCAGAGTATGGAATAACAGAATAAGAAGTGGTGGCAGGGTTTGTCAGGAAAAGAAAATAGAGAAAAGGTGAAAATTGACAGGTCGTCGGTCGAGTCTTGAAACGGAGATGGAAATTTAGGTCCGTTCAAAGTTTAGTGTTTGAATGTTGTCATTATGGGTATGTTAAGGCAAATTAATAATCTGCACTTTTAATGGACTGAACTGTATCATGGCATAGATTCACAACATAGCCAGGATGATTTTCATTCAATTCTCATCATTTATGAAATTTCATGTCAACACACTGATGGTCACGTGACATCAACCCGACGTGTTTGTGTCTAGTCGTACTAGGGGATTGTAACGTGTAGAATGTGAAATGCTTACAGTGAATTTAATTCTCGTAGCCTATCGGTTTAGTGATGTCTCAATGTGTGAAATATACAGACATACGGTGTTGGCGATACCGTAAAGCCGGGTGTCCACCATCCACGATAATCTCCAGGGTATAGTACGTTCCAATAAATCTCCACTAGTACCCTGGATACATCTTGGGGTACGAACGGGTACCATGTGTCAGTTTAACCCACTCTAATACCGACATCGAGCTGAGCAGGCCCTACTTAAATGTCGAACGCCAGCCAGGGTAATAACAAGCATCTTTTGGCATTGCGCGACCGGGGATAGAACCACCAAACATATTCTCCCCGGAGAGATACTCTATCCCCACAGGGGCGGTCTCCCAACTCTGAAGAATCACTTGTAAAATTGTCCTTTTTGTTTGTTGTTTAACCCCCTCGACAACATTCCAGCTGTATGGTGGCAGTCCGAAGTTGTTCAAGTCAGGACCAGATAATCCAGTGATCAACATCATGAGCAACGATCTGCGCAATTGGGATACGATTGTTTGGTTGGTTTGTTGTTTAACGCCGCACTCAGCAATGTTCCAGCTGTATTGCGGCAGTCCGAAGTTATTCGAGTCTGGACCAGACAATCCAGTGATCAACATCATGAGCATCGATCTGCACAATTGGGATACGATAACATGCATCAACCAAATCAGTTAGCCTGACCATCCGATCCCGTTAGTCGCCTCTTACGAGAAGGGTTGCTGAAGACCAATTCTATCCCGGATCTTTACGGGTAGGTCAAGTTGTCAAAACGTAAGGTGAAAAAAAGTATGATGACCAATGTTATGTGGTTATTAATATTGCATTTAGTAATTTGCATAAAGCTATCTTAGCGCTAAGGTGGTGGTACATGTTTATCCAATGCTGTACTATGGGCCGACGATCGCCGTTGTACTAAGGTGAGGTGATCTGAAATAGGGTTTAACGTCGTACTTAAGAATATTTCGCTCATATGACGACGTACATGCATGTGTATGTGTATGTGTGGCTGCTTGTACTAGCCCAGACTTCAGCTGGGTTTATAGTGGAAGCTCACTGAGATACCATGCCGCAGTTAAGCATGAATACCCCACTCAGACACATTATACTGACTCCGAGCCGACCAGTCCTTGTTGTACCCATTAATGCCGAGCGCCAAACAGGGACCAACAAGTACCATATTTTAACGTCTTTTGGTACTCTGGAGAGTATGATATCTTGATGTCTTCATATCAGGTCCTTAAAGAAAATTGGGTTCAGACAGTCAGTATCAGAACCTGTAAACTACTGTCAAAACTCATACACCACGCAAAAATTGTGAAACGAAACACGTATCTACACCACTACAGACATTGTGAGATGAGGGGTTCACTGCTGTGTATCCTGATTGGTAAACAGAGTCACACCAACAGTCTGCCAAATAGTTTCCAAATGTTGCTAGCTGTGCCTGAAAGTTACTAGCACTAAATACTAGCCAACAAAATAAGTCACTAGCCCAAAATTTGAATGTAGAAACTAAGCAAATGATATGATGAACATTTTTATCAGGCCATAATTGTGCATTATTTAAAAGTGTATTATAAATTAACAAGTCGGAGAGAGTGATATACAATGTAATTACAAAATGACCAATGAAAATTCAGCAGCCAGTCAGGCCAGTGACAGTGGAGATTTACTGGCCTGACTGGATTTTTACTAACCATGGGCTAGAAGGCCAATGGTTATTTTGTACACTGCACACCAATCATAAACCTATGATCCAGTTCAAGATTTAGCTCAGGTGGTGGGCACTTGGGTAGCCTAAAGGTTATGGGTACAATTTGTGAAGCCCATTTCTGGTGTCCCCCTCCATGATATTGCTGGAATATTGCTAAAAGCAACGTAAACCCATACTCACTCACTCACTAGCTCCTGATTCTGGATGTACTGGCCAGGGCTTTATAGATGGTGAAAAACTGTTTCGGCTTTTGTAAAAGCAACACATCCAAATGGAGATTCACCAGTCAGTGAGTGAGTTCGGTGAGTAAGGAGAGCGAGTAAGTAGGCAAGGTAAGGTGAGGTCATTTGTTGCATGAGAGAATGCTATATCCTTTAAGCCAGCCAACCGTAAAATGTTCAGCCCATATCTGACCCAGAAAAGAAATAGGCCCTCATAGAAAAAAAGTCACAAAGTTCATTACAAAAAACATTTATTTCGACATACGCAATTACAGTAAGCCCAACTGACCAGATCCTGTAACACATGGAGTTTGTCTACAGAAAATCCTGTTCAGTAAATCACTTACAGTGTTCATATGAACAGCCAAATATTTCCATGAAACTATTCGCCTTGTCACAAAATATCCAATTCATGGATTAAAGAACATATTTAGCAGCAGTCAATTTTTTAATAAACTTGTTACCAAGAAAGTAGGCCACAGCAGAGATACCTGGTGGAAATATTTGGCCATCAATACATTTGTATAAGCAATGAGACATATGAACTGTTATGTACATAATGGGATGTATGATGACAAATGTGATGTCCGTAACGCCTCAACTCTCCAGGCAATAGGTTCCTACATCAGGCACACATTCACTGAAACATCCATAAAATATACTCTCACACCCCAACTATGGCTCTTTCATGTCCACACACATACATTTTTATACGTTTTGCTGCTTTAAAAAAAAAAAAAAAATGACAATGACTCAACATTAGTAGCAGCATGTACCACACTACTAACTCCTCAAACATGTTTTGGTTTCCAGAAAATATACTACAGCACGCATCTGGTACTGTTCTCTTTGTAAATCATTTACCTTAATATTTGTACTACGTTTGACCAATTTATTAATGAATTTATCAATTTTTTCATAAATTCAGAAGCATTTTTCATTACCATATCTAAGCATAATTGGATTTTACAAAACTTTCCACCTGACTTCAGTGGTATCAAAACACTGCTACTCGATGAGGAAAACTTCCCAGATGTCAAATGTAATCCTGCTTGTTTGGGTCTGGATGTTGTGCAACAAGGGAACATAACCTTCACCAGAATTAACATCAAGCCTCCAGTTGTGTTTGTAGTTTAAGCTCAGTTCTTGTGCTAAAATCACCCACATGTTGCGGCCATCTTGTCCAATAAATACACCTGTCCACACAACTGATCCTCATGACTGGCTGACGTCCCTGGGGCGGTACATGATCCCCTTGCCCCGGAGTTCCCTCACAATACCTGGGGGCAGCTTCCCCGTCACAGACACTGCATAGCAACCTTTGGCAAACCGGGCTGAAACAGGCATACAGTCCAGTACTGGTCTACAACTATATTCAATAAAAAACTCAAAAGTATTTTTACTCCTAAAAACAGATGTCTCCCCCTTCCCCCAATTCAACGTTGAGACCTCAAACAATTCATTAGATTCCTTCAATTTCAAAATCTCTAAGTATGAAAAGCAAATAAAATAAAATTGAAAGAAAAGTTCAAACCCCCAAAAGGCACATCTACATGATATGGAAAGGCAGAATGGAAAATGTTGGTGAAGATGGGTCAAATAGTTTCAGAATTTTGCTCCGGAAATGAACTTTAGCCTTCAAAAAGACAAAGTCCAAATTGTTGCCATGAAAACAGAAAAAATAAAATTGAAAAAAAAATCAAACCCCAAAAGGCACATCTACATGATATGGAGAGGCAGTATACCAAATTTGGTGAAGATTGTTCAAGTAGTTTTAGAGTTATGTTCCTGAAACATTGAGAACGCGGACGCCGATGGAAACTCAACCAAAAACAATATGTCTCCCGACCCTTCGGGGAGACATAAATAGTTGTTATCATGCGGGAGATAAAAAACGTAAGATGTTTACCGTAGCAAAGTATTTTCATATGTACCAAGAACTCAGGATGGGTATTGGAGGTTCAAAGTGTATCCCGAAATATTGCAATACACAAGGTCGTATCTGTGTCAGACAGCAAGGTAAAGGGAGGCAAAGTAGGACCAGATTAATGCAAGTCTTTGTGTATAATTTATGAAACTTTTGGCAAATAGATCCCAACATGAAACATAAACCAATTGTTGTATAGGCACACGGTGCATCATACCGCCATGTGTAAACTTGCAATCCATAGATACATCAGTGAATAAGAAAAGCAACACATAAAAACGAAACAGAAAGATGTGAAGTGAGAGACAGACAACAGACAAAACAGTGTGTGTATGCGCTCAGCACAGACTCGTAATGATGAAAATCTCTGGACAAACACTCACCGATTCTCTGCCACTTTGACACCCAGCTGTCTTCAGGGCTCATCATGGCTATCAACCTGCAACAAGTAGAATGAGTGAGTGAGTGGAGTTTAACACTGCTTTGAATGATATTCCTAATATTTCTGATTGTCGGTTTGATGAGGGAGCCACAGTCTCAGGCTCAGTATTATTCCTTACACTTACACTGTTATACTGAGTCTAACAAACCCTAGCAGCTAACCTTTGAGTGACCTATGACCATCCAATCAAACGCGAGACGGCCGAACTGATTTAACCAATCAGAAAACAGCTCCTATTTATTCAGTTTGAGTTTCTGAGTGAAGCGTTTATTAATTTACTCTTCTCCGGTCGCTGACTCTGACCTCTCAACAAACGAAAATCTGCACAAACACAGATATTTGACCTGCAGTATATATGCTTAGGGTTTCTGGTGGCATGGTTACTATTAGCTTATATTTCCGCAAGATGACATCCTGGAATATTGTCAAAAACGTTATTTTCAGCGACTGTTTACTCAATGTTGTAAAAATGGTGTCTTCCATGTGTGTCACTCGGAAGCAATCGTGCGGAAAATAACAATCGGAATCGTTCGAGTACAAACGTTTTCGAGGTAAAAGGTCAAGCGGTATATGCAAATGTTTCGCGATTTGGCAAGCTGTGTTCTGACTGGACAATTCAAAAGGTTAGCTGACACGACCTTCTACTTCGGATTGTTAGACTCAGCATGATAGTGTAACAAATAATACTGAGTGTAAGTTTACTTAGACTGAGGGAGCCAAGTCCCAAGAGATGCACACCTCAGACTGGAACCACTTTCGTAAAACCTACAATCATGGGTATAGTGCTGACATACCTAGATACTGTAACGCTTGCCAGAGATGTGTCAAACAAATCAAAAACATGACCAGTAGGAATGTCACGATACATAAGTCTCATGAATCGATATGTATCACGATACCCATGTCACGATTTGATAGGTATCACGATACCCATGTCACAATTCGACCCCATTTCGCAGATCGATGTTCATGCTGTTGACCACTGGACTGTCTGGTCCAGACACAATTATTTACAGTATATTCACTGGTTTTCAATCATTAATGTCCTGTGAGATGTAAGTGAGCTTCAAAAGGGGATTCAAGTGTTCCACTATCATTTGCCAGAAGAAGGAGACAAACAATAAAGCATGAGTCAGGATAAGGAAAATGTCTTAACGTTCAACTCCTGCCCCTGACAACAGGTGTGAGTGAATGAGATGGGTGGTACATCACTCTGACTTGTTGTATATTGTCAAGCTGGGATCAGCAATGACACTAATTAAGTAAAATAAGTGTTCAGACATCTTCATTGGCCTAGAAACCCACACTGACCCAAACATTCAGGTCCTATAACTTCAAGTACAGGCTTGAGTTAATAAATACAGAACAGGGATTACCCAGCAGAGGGATTCTCCAAACACAAATTATTGTGGCTTACCTAGTTTAGCATGTCAAACCTGATTTTGCCTGTTTAGAACATAATTAAGTAATTACAGACTTTAAACGAGGTCACATTTTGGGCTACAGCAGGCATTGTGCCAGTGATATGACAGTGACCAAAAGAATGAGTGAGTGAGTTTAGTTTTACGCTGCACTCAGCAATATTCTAGCTATATGGCGGCGGTCTGTAAATAATCGAGTCTGGACCAGACAATCCAGTGGTCAACACTAGAACAGCATGAGCATCGATCTGCGCAACTGGGATATGATGACACGTGTCAACCCAGTCAGCAAGCCTGACCACCCAATCCCTTTAGTCGCCTCTTACGACAAGCATGGGTTACTGAAGATCAATATTCTAACCCGGACCTTCACGGGTAAGTGACCAAAAGAATGATCTTTTAAGAAATATGTTATGTCAATATGGATCCCAATTCTGGAATTGCTTGTTTCCCAGTACTCTGGAATCCAGGATAGATCTCTGCACTGACCCATCAAAGTTGGAGCTGGTGCACTCGTACACAGCATCCCTGTTGTTTTTCATGTGGAGATATTCCTCGCAGTTGTCGCATCCATCATACGCAAACTGGTCCAGAGTCTGTCAAAAGAGTGAGTGAGTGAGTGAGTGAGTTTATATTTAACGTCACATCAGCAATATTTCAGCCATATCTTGACGAGAACATATTTGACATTGAATTGGAATATGTGTATATTATAAAAACCTGTCATCAAAGGACAGTAAAACAACTAGAATATCACAATTAGAATTAAAACTAGTGTGGAAAGTTAAAACTAATAGCACTATTAGGACAATACAAGATAAAAACAGGCTATAGATCGCCAACAACTGAAAGTAGATCACCATACTAGGGACCATGGGGACTTACAGTGCCTTTGCTACCTGCATGGAGCCTAGCTGGATTTACACCATCCCTTAAGCCACTGGCGATTGTGGTAAGTTTAGACATTATTAAAAATAACAAGTATTCTACGATTAAAAGTTTGGTAGTGCTAAATTGACCTTGAAGTTTTGGACTTACGTACCCTCTCGGAGGACAATAAATTTACGCTGCTTCAACCCCCTTTGACATTTGAGGGCGTCAAAAGAGGAGAAAATGCACATGATCAAGTTCAGTATTCAATAATCACACCTGAGATATTCAGGAATAACAATTACCAATATTTCATGTAAAACAATAATCATAAACAAAAGCAGCCTGTGCCAAATACTTTCAAATTAAACCTTCTGATGAAGCCCTTGGCATAATTTGTCATGCTTCTGTTCTGTAGTGAGTGAATCCGGTTTTACATCTCTTTTAGCAATATCACAGTGAGGAACACCAGAAATGGGCTTCACATATTCTACCCATGCTGGAATCGAACATGGATCTTCCACATGACAAGTATATGCTTTAACCCCAAGGGTACCCCACCAGCTGGTTTTAGTGCCGTCATATGGATAGTTATGGATATGGATAGACTACACAGGTCACTGTCTGCAGACTTCATTCTACTACACATGGGGTTAGATAGAGTGCTAAAGATTACCTACGGTAAAACACCACCACTGCACACTTAAATGTACCCCATGTCGCAGAGGGGTTCATGTGACGACCACCTGACTTGTCACCAGTTTGCCTCGGCCCAGTGCCAGGTACACAGATCTTTTCTACCGTTAATACTGTGCAGTCATATTTACCATCTAGTTCAACTGCCAGTCACAAAATCTGCTGCAGCTTGGAAGGACTATTTTAACTCTTAAAATGTTTTCTTTGTAAAATCTTTGTGCTGTGAGATAACTGAATGTTTACTGGTTGTAGAGTTCCTTGGTCTTCAATAGTAGAAAATAACATGGTTAGGAATGAACTGCTGACACATGTGATGATGTTACTGTTTGTGAGGAACTACTAATAACACGTGAAACTGCTCTGAACTCGTAGAATGTACATGCCAAAGTCAGGCTAGAGGAGGAGAATTATACAATTAATCCAACTGAAGGAAGATAAATAGGATACCATATAAATATAAGGCTCAGTGTTTTACTTTGGGCCAACAAAAACAGGGGACCAGAGGACACCCAGTTACTAGTTTCAAGCATCCATACTCGAAATATGAAGTTCTGGTAAAGTAATTATATAATGATAACATACCTTCATGCTCCATACCTTCAGCATGTTCAGTATGAACAGATACTGACACGGTTGGAAATCTTACTGAAAGTTCTCTTAGTCTTATTACAATCAGCTGATCATACTCTCATTATATTTTACACCCATCTGGGTATCAACATAACTCGGTATGTGGCATTCTAGTTCATATGAATAAACTCGTATTCCAGGCAGTCGTCTAGCTGGACTAGTGGCATTCCATCTTGGCTGATGTATTACACGACAAATTCGTTATATCCAACCTACAGTAGTTGGCCATAAGCATGATAAGTGAGTCATCATTAGTGAAATTCCCATAGACTTGCATGTTAATTAACTCTTGCAAGAATAATTTTCATAAAAAAAAAGTTTCGTTCGAATTGCTTTCAATACTTTTCTACCAGCTGGGAAATCATCTCAGCTACATATACAATAATTTCCATTCAATTTTCCGATGATTATTAAGAAAACTGCAACTATTTACCCAGCACATATTAGACATACCAATCAGGTTTAGCATGGCTGTCTATGGGATAGATTAAAGTTGTACTTATGGTGCTTAATCAGGTGTCATTCGATAACTAATCAATAGAAAGATGAAAGAAAATTATGTACACATACTGTGACATAGTTGAAGATGATTTCCAAGATGTTTGCAAAATATCAAAATATAATGACTTCTACTCAGTTTATGAAAACTATTCTTGCAACAGTTTATTAACATGTAAGTCTACGGAAATTTCACTAATGAAGACTCACTTATAGCCACGGATACTGTATATGTAAGTAGTTTCTATTTTCACCATTTCAAATGCTACCGAAAACTGGACAATGCAAATGAAATCGCAGCATGCCTGAATGAGATGAATGTATTACCTTCACCAGAGCACACAGTAAACAGGCCCTCAGGTTTCTGATGTCTTTAGGAACAGTTTCTAAAGACATGGTGTAAACAGCTGAAACTCTTGTACTTTACAACACACAACACTGGTAGATTCGCGTGCTTTTCTCCGGGGTTTTCTCAAATCAACTTCCGGTTGTCCAGTTAATCGAAAAGTAAAACCATCGAATTCTGCGGAACAACCAAAACATTTCCTCTGTAGGTTGGGTTGAGTTGGGCTTTACGTCACATCGGCATTATTCCAGCCATATAGTGACGAGATCAAGTTTCCATTCATTACCATTTAAGTCCAAGGTCCAAAAGAGTTATAATTTAAAAACATATATATTCATTACATTTCCTCTGTAAGATAAACCCGTTCAGCAAACCAGCTCGTCACTTAATATGTTCAACAACAAAAAATGATTATAGGAAAAAAAAGTCCTCAGTAAAAAGTCCTTTTTACTGATTAAAAAAAGTTGCTGTTTTTAACGAAGACTTTTTTACCGAACACACACACACACACACACACACACACACACACACACACACACACACAACACACACACACACACACACACACACACACACACACACACACACCAAATGCGTTTGCATAAGGATTCGAAATTCAATTTTTTTGGTTCTCATTGTTGTTTGTTCTAAAGACGAATTTGTCAAGGACTTATATTTTTGTGCAAAACATTGTTCCAGATTGGTCGAAGGACTCGCACGTGGCATTAATCAATTACCCTAACCGCATTGTCGAACAAGGCCGAAGCGTTACGTAAGTCGATAAAGATAGAATACCTGCCCGTTGTGTTGCTACTTGATCGACTTGTGTTGATATATTTAAAAATCAAGAGAGAGAGAGAGAGAGTATCTATCTCACAGCTGATCGAGCACTCGTTGAAATAGAGAACATGCAGTGGATCACTATAATTGTTACTGCTAGAATGCACTTGCAAAGATGCATCTCGATGTCAAAAGTGTCTCCAGGCTAATCTATCTCAAGTGACCTAACAAACAAAATAGTCGATGGTGACTAGCGAAGCCACGGTTGAAAATGTCAATATTCAAGGGTCAGAGAAAAGTCCAATTCTGTCTTAATACTATAATTTCTAATATTTTTTGTTTTGTTGCTATTTTATTTACTTATTTATTTATTCATTTTTATTTATTTTTATTTTATTTATTCATCTATTTATTCATTTTTTTTTATAATATTTAGTTTTTCAGGGGGTTTTTAGGGTGGGGGTGGGGTGGGCTTTTCTGCTATAGTGTATTATCGTCATGGCTTCGTCATGGTCACCTTGAGGCAACCATACGCCCAGTAATGTACGTTATATTGAGGCATTTATTCAGTACAATAGCTTTACAGAGAGATGTGGGACGGTGGGGTGCACGTGGCGCTCATAACGCCAAAGATCCGGGTACGATTCAACATATGGGTACAGTGTATGAACCCGATATCTGGGGTCCCCCGCCGTGATATTGCTGGTGTCCCCCGCCGTGATATTGCTGGAATATTGCTAAAAGCGGCGTAAAACTAAACTCACTCATTCACTCACTACACAGATGTGCAAGTCGACAATAATGAGGGCTTTTGAAGTTGTGATTGTGTGATTGTAAACAATTCAGGACCAAAATGCAGCAGTTTATACTTTTTCTTTTGTTTAGAAGCGTTTGAAGAAATTTCCGCCAAAACATCACCAAGAAAACATGCAAAGCAAAATGCCCGTGCAAGTAAGCGGAAAGGTATGCTGTATTGATCATTCTAAAAAGGCAAACGTTCTGTTTAATTTTGTCATTCGTTTTTGCCCGGAAAGAGGAAATCATTATGCCACGACCGAGTGCCACTAACCGAAACATCAGCAATCACGAATTCCTCATCACCGGCGAGATGGAAGACAACGTGTTTACCGCCGGAGAAATGAGCGTTTTGCCCTAATTTCATTCGACAGGTCGACAGATTCGACGGTGTCATGGTGTGGGGTGGAATTATCAAGCACACAAAGATCTGATTTAGTGGTGGCACTACCATGCCAGTTCAATGTCTTGCCATTGCCTTCCCGATTACCAGATCTAAACCCGATAGAACACCTATCGAATCAACTCGATCGACGTGTACGTCAACATACGTCAACGTCAAAACGCGCCTCAGACAATTCCACAACTGGCCATCGCATTGCAGGAAGAGTGTGGAAGAATTCCGCAAGACCGACTTCGTCGACTTATCTAGTCTATGCCGAGACGGCGCCGAGCAGTAATTGCTGCCAATGGTGAGCATACAAAGTACTGACTTTGACGCCGTCTCGTGGTCTCAAGTAAACAGAAACACAACAATTGGTCGCTGTTGTGTTGGCGAACTCTTTCTCTATAGACGTGTGAATGTTTCACCTTTTTAATATTGAAATTACATGAAATAATTGTTCTTAAACTAACGCAATAAATTCTTCTAAAATTCTTTTTTAAAGAGTGTATTACTTTGGTATCTTATACCTTTTTCTCAATGTCATATACGTGTTCCTTCCTTTTTTACACTGCTTATTGCCCTTTGGTGAAAATCTGAGAATAAACACACTAACACTGCGTAAAGTAATGTTCCATTACTTGTTTCCCCAAGTATATAATTTTGCTGACGTAAGTCAAATTACTCTAATCAAAGGAGTTCCGATCGATCTACTTGTTTGTTCGTTAGTTGGCTGTTTAGCGCCACACTCATCAATATTCCAGCTATATGACGGCGGCCTGTTTATAATCGAGTCTGGACCAGACAATCCAGTGATTGACACGAGCATCGATTTATGCAATGTTTTATACGATGACATGTGTCAACCAAATCAGCGAGCCTAACCACCCGATCCCGTTAGTCGCCTCTTACGACAAGCATGGGTTACTGAGGACCAATTCTAACCCGGACTCTCACTAATTAAAGTACTGTCGGAAATAGAAAAAAACCCTGTTATTTTCTCATTTATATCTACAATTTAGGTAGTTAATATGTGAAAGTGTGAAATATCTGATAAACTAAGTTCGGCCAAACTACAGGCGCAGTGGGATGAAGATAGGAAACGTGAAAGAAGGATTTTACTGAGGAGAGATTAGTGCAGAAGTGAGCAATGCGGGTTTTTCTAAGTCCAATGCGACTTATTCAGAACAGACCATGGCTTTATGCAAATTAGTGTGCAATGGTATTGTATTACAAAGGACACATTTTAAATGATCATTTTGAAATTAGACTTAGCTTCATTATAAACGATCGCAGACGTAAAAAATAATAACTTTAATACTGAAACTATTAAGGATGTAGCTACCATGGCGTCTCACTATCACTATAAGAAGAAACAGGGATCGTCTCAAAAGCAAAACCAAGACGGGTGTCGCAGACGGTGGTTGGGGTCGGGCTGGGGAACTGAAATATTAGCTAAGATGAGATAATCAAGTAGAGACATATTCGATACACATGAAAAAATATAAAATATCTTTGAGATGACCCTTGTGCCTGTGGGTAGTACGTGCATTTCATGCCAAGGAAGTCGACGGTCCGTCGTCATACCTGGCTAAGCGACCTAATTGCCATCTATAGTTTGATCTATTGTTTTCAGCAGCTATTTGTATTTTTTCTAAGTTTTGCCCGATTTTACGACTAAACATGCTTTTCTGGATATCCTATTACGCATCCCCCTGAACGCCCAGTTAGGCCGATGTGGGTTATTTCGACATTTTAGTGATACAGAGTAACAGCCTAAAAACTTTTTTTTTCTATTTCCGACAGTACTTTAGGCCCGCCCTAGATAAAGCTCGTAATGTCAGTGCATTTCCTTGTCCTATGTATATGGTCTGTTTGGCTCAAAAGCGGACCGATGAATTGCAATCTAACTCGAAAACTAATAAACATAACATACTCAATGAAACGCTGATCATAATCAAAACATCATACCCACTCTGTGAGGTTTTTGGAGAATTTATGTCCTAAAATTAAAAAAGTTGTTTAACAAACTATCATTAAAATATCGACACAATTCACTATATGTTACGAGGGACGAGTGCAGAGAAAGGGACAGCCTGGTGTGCGAGAAAGGATGGAGACGGCACAGCATTGGTTAATAAATCAATAACGTCGTCGGCACTTGTGCACGTGCTTTTCTAACACCTGGCTGTCCCTTTCTCTGCACTCCTCCCTCGTAACAAATGGTGAACTGTGTCAAAATGTTATTGATAGTTTGTTAAACAACTTTTTTAATTTTAGAACATTAATTCTGCAAACAAATCACAGAGTTGGTCTGATGTTTTGATTATGATCAGCGTTTCATTGAGTATTATATGTTTATTAGTTTTCGAGTTAGATTGCAATTCATCGGTCCGCTTTTGAGCCAAACGGACTATAGGTCCGACCGACGCTACGAAGCCACGCCTTCATTGGTTACTGTTGCTATGTTCCTCAAGCTTTGCGATGCTACCCGTGAAGATCCGGGTTAGAATGAACCTTTTCAGTAACCCATGCTTGTCGTAAGAGGCGACTAACGGGATCGGGTGGTCAGGCTCGCTGACTTGGTTGACACATGTCATCAGTTCTCCAATTGCGCAGATCAATGCGCATGCTGTTGATCACAGGATTGTCTGGTCCAGACTCGATTATTTACAGACCGCCGCCATATAGCTGGAATATTGCTGAGTGCGGCGTAAAACTAAACTCACTCACTCACTCACTCACTTGGCGTTGCTGAGCTGTCAAAATGGCTGAATGTCATCCGGGAGACGACCATCTTAGTTCGATACCGGACAATATCTCCTTACATTTCCATCCAGCACATGATAGAATATCAAAAAGGGCACAAGCAAGGGGGTTAAAACAATTATTGAAGGGTATGTGCACGACATACAAGTTTTCACTCATAATCAGGCCGTTTTCGTGTAGGCGAAATGTTGGAGATCGCTGTCCAGGCGGGAAGAGGCGCACAGACTGCAGTTGGAAATAGATCTACGATCCCAAGAATTCACCGATTCCTACTGTTCTTGCAAGGCTGGGTAAGAGCCCTGTTAGATTAGATCAGATCCTATACTTGCCTAGACCGCTTGGCAGATCTGACCACTGACCAGAGGACGACACCCGTTATCTAATCACAGTCAGGAACTGTAACGGCGAATTCTTAGGATCGTAGATCTATTTCC